TTTTGTTTCGGGGGACATATGGGTTGTATCCATAGCCATGGTTTCCCGATCATTTTTTTCAATCTTTCCTTGGCGTACATACTCCATTTCTTTTGCATATTCTACTTCTATTGCCCTATCGTGATCTTGTTGTTTCATATCCATTTCAATTCTCATGGCTTGCATCTTTGAAAGCTCCTCCAAATATTTAGATGTACTCTTGGTAGAATTACTCCCTCTCTTCGCCTTAGCCGACTTCCTCCCAATAGGCCTCGGCTCTTTTTCGATAGGTGAGTCTTGACTCATCGGGGAATCCATAGGTGAATCCGATGTCGGTGTCTCATGGAGTGGCATCTCGTTCAACACTATCGTTGGACCCGTTGGAATAATTTGGAATCTCTTACAATTCTTCATCACCTCCCAACATAGGGTATGGTTGAAACTTTTTTTCCCTTGCCCAGTAGCACCAAAAAACATTTGTGCTTGCATAATCTATACACCAAAAAAAAAAAAAAAAAAAAAAAAGAGGAAAGGCAAGAAACTTTAAAAAATATTGGCAATGCAACAAGTATAAAAAAAAAATGGAAATACAAGAAAGATTAAAAATATTGGCAATGCAACAAGTATAAAAAAAATTGAAATACAAGAAACTAAAAAAAATATTGGCAATGCAACAAGTATTTCAAAAAATAATGGAAACGCAAGAAACTTTAACAATTTATTAGAAATGCACAACAAAATATAAATATTGCAAGAAACATTCATATTAATATTTGAAATACAAAAAATATTAACATAATATATAAATTGCAAGAAACATTTAAATAAAATTTAATATGACATAGAAATTAATAAAACAAAAAATTACAAATAATTTACCTCACTGCTAAGGTTTTCCCCGCTTCTATTGTTGTTCATCGCTTTTGTCAAGGCATCTCTCCATTTTTTCAACTCTTTCTTAAGAATTTTCCACCTACTAGATAATGCCTGATCCGTACGGGTCGAACCAATTACCCTTTCACAAAATTCCTGATGAATTTTTTTTCACATATGACAGAATTTGATCTCATTGCCCGTTACGGGACAATGACTAACTTGGAGCCAAGCCTCACACAAGCTAATATCTTCCGTCATGCTCCATGCCCCGCCTCAGGTTTCACTAGAAGAACCCATAATATGATAGAGAAAAAAACAACTTGAAAGTGAAAAAAATTGAGTAGAAAGTGAAAAATAGTAGAAGGAGAAGAAAATGTATGAGGAGTTGGTGTTAAAAGTGAAGAGTATTGGTTGGTATTTATAGAAAAAAAATTCAGTATTTTTTTGGTATTTTTTTAAATTTTTTCTGATTTTTTTATTGGGCAAAAAATTGCATACCGTTGGATTGCTGGAAAAAAAAGGATCGGAGAGCCCAGAAGCTTCCACGTGGTAGAGAGCCGTTGGGGGTTGCTTTTTCGATTTTTTTATTCATGAAAAAATGGCTGCCGTTGGATATGTTTAGAAAGCTGATCGCATGGTCCAGACGAAGACACGTGGAAGAGAGCCGTTAGGCGAGTACTATAGTGGCGCATCAAATTTTTTTTAAAGGTTGGCGCGTGCATTGCACG